CATGAACCACACCTCCCTCACCACCTTTTCTCTCTCTAGACACCCACCCCTCATATCATAACTTCCTCCCTTCTTTTTTTTCGTGTGTTCTCCCCTCCCTGAATTCAACACCGGGAGAGAGATCAAAGACCAGAGAGAGAGAGCCGAGCGGGAGAAAAATTGGATGTGTTTTGTGCCGCTCCCTCCCACCACCCCCCCCATGCTGACCCTCTCTCAATATATTCTCTCCATTTTCATACAATGACTATTATAATCCCCATATCCCCATTGAACATAATCATCATATATTCTACGAGTCCAGATTCCCTCATTGAGCCCCCTCCTTCATTCCCTCCTTGCAGGGGTCTTCGGGTCCACTTTGAGGCCCAGTTTTGATAATCCGAACCGTTCATATTTTTAGATTTATTCAGTATATTATACCTGTAAAAAATCAAGTTGATCGGATATCAGAAAGTATGCGTTCAGAAAATTGGGACTACAAACTATTTTTTAATAAACAGTTTTCCGAACACATACTTTATGATATTCGATCAACTTGATTTTTTACAGGTATAATATACTGAATAAATCTAAAAATATGAACGGTTCGAATTATCAAAACTGGGCCTCAAAGTAGCCCCGAAAGCCCTTGCAAAGAGGAAATGAAGGAGGGGCTCAAGGATCCCAATTCATATTCTACCACCATCTATCTTCTTTCCATTCACCGCCCACTCCAGAACAACATTATCCTACTGACCCTCTTCCTTTCCATAAAATAATTCATGCTTTTTTTTTTCCACCCAAAACCTCATCATCATGCTGATTAGTCTTTTTGTTTTTTATTCTTCATCTTCCACCCAAAAAACAAATCATCATTCTGACCCTATTTTCTTTTTTCTTTTTCTTTTTTAAATTTTTATTTGTTTTTGTTTTTATTATTTCCTATTTATAAAATATTTATCAATTTATATAAAACACACCTAAAAATATGTACAAACACACCAAATTATATAAAATTATAAAATATTACAAATTCATAAAATAATAATAAAAATATTTTACTTTGGCCAAAATGGGTGAGGTTTGAGATTAAAATTTCAATTTGATTTTTGTTTTTGGTAAGGGTGGTTAAAATAAAGTGTCCAAGTCTGAGGGCCGGTCAAAATGGGGTATCTACACAAAGGAACAAAATATGGTTCCAGTAATTTCTAGGTCCCAAAGGAAAAAGATCCAACGAAGGTATACTCAGTACCAAAAGGATCTGAAGGAAAGTGGGGAGAGTTCTTCATTGGCCCAGCCAAAAGGCTAGACAGAGGAAAGAGAAAGTCCAAAATTGGACCATAGTCCAAAATCGACTCCTCAGAACATAAGAAGTTTCAGCAAAGAGCAGTTGACTAAAGTTCACTCTGAACTGAAAGCCAAGGAAAAATCCAGTTTAATAGGTCTTGAAAAGGCCTTGATGGAAATCGACAGTGAGATAGAAGGAGAAGTTGACTTAGGCCAAAGAAAAGAAATGGTTAAGGAGGAAATGTTTGAAGCCTTCATTGTTGAACATACATTTTTGGTCAAACAACCAGCAGGAACAGACCATTCAAAGGAAGTCACTAGTACTAAAGTGCCAAAATGCAACATGGAAGATGCTTCTGAAATAACTGAACAAGTTAGCCTGGAAAAGAAGCAAGTGCAGCCAGTAGTTCAGTTTAGCTGATTTCCTCCAGTGTCAGTGAATATGGTGCATATACTACCATAGGAGTTCCAGACTGAAGATGGAAACCAAGAAGGTCAGGAGATTGACCCTATTCCAATTTCTAGTGAAAATTCACAGGTTAGTATGGTTCAAGATAAATCTAAAGTGGCCACATCGTTAGAAACTGAGGATGAGAGTGAGGAAAATGTGGGTATTAATCTCTCATATCTTTTTGAGTATCCTACAACATCCATGACATAGCATGTCAAGCCTTTGTATATAAAGGCTTTTTTCGATGGGATACAGATGAATAGGGTATTAGTGGATAATGGTGCAGCAGTGAACCTACTTCTGAAATCCTCTTTGAAGAAACTAGGGAAAAGGAATCCCAGATTAATCCCAACCAACACAACCATTGCTGGTTTTGCTGGGGATAAGCAGATGGCTCAGGGTATTTTGCCCATCAACCTGAGTGTGGGAACTAGAGATTACATGACAACATTCTTTGTTATTGATAGTAATGCTAAGTATAATGCTTTACTTGGCAGGGATTGGATTCACACCAACAAATGTGTGCCTTCCTCTCTACATCAGAAGATAACGATGGCCTTGTGCAATGAAGAGACAGAGGACATCAATGCAGACCCTCAACCCTTTGTCATTTGTGCAAACTTTGCAGAGGCCAAGTTGTATACTGAAGGAGTGACACCACTCAGTATATTGAGAAAACCTGATGGTTCAGCCGAAGTGACGGCTGATAAGGAAGTAGCACACCTGAAGCACTTGGTACCGGAGAGTGCTGATGAAGAATTCGTCATCAAAGATGATAATGATGCCTGGTTGTAGGCAAGAAGATGAAACCCAAGAAGCCAGACCCTTGGCTTTAGTAAAGTTTTCAGCATTGGACTTAAAAGCAATAGTCCAAAAAGTTCAGGAACAAGAGAAGGAAACCATGGTAGTTGGCTGTAAGCAAAAACAACAACAGGTCAGACCTTTGACCTTTGACCTTTGACCTTTGATAAATACTGTGCATTGGACATCGAAACAAAAGTCCAGGAAATACAGAAAGAAGAAGCCTTATGGACAAACTTTGTCTATGAGGAAGAAGGTAAAGATGTTGAGTCAGAGAAAGTGGGAGCAGAACAAAGCAAAGAAATTGCTTCGAGGACAGAAGAAATCAAAAGAGAAGCATTAGTGAGTTCTCAAATACAAGACCCCTTGGAAGAAATTAATTTGGGGGAATGTTCTGCACAACAACCCGCTTACATCAGTTCTTAGTTAAGTGCTCTTGACAAGGACTAGTTATTGATGGTCTTAAAGAGATATAAAGATTGTTTTGCATGGTCTTATAATGAACTGCTAGGATTGGATAGGTCATTAGTGGAACATAGGCTCCATATGAAGCCTAATTTCAAACCATACAAGCAGAAGTCAAGAAGAATGAGTCCTGAAGTGATTCAGAAGGTCAAGGACAAAATTCTTAGGGTCCTTAAGGCAGGCTTTATTAGAACAACTTTCGAAAGAATGAGAAAGTTCAAGTTGAAGCTTAATCCTCTCAAATGTGCTTTTGGTGTATCAGTTGGAAACTTCTTGGGCTATGTAGTACACAAGAACGGAATACAGATTGACTTGAATAAAGCCAAAGCCATCATTGAAGCCAAGCCTCCATCAAGTAAGAAAGAAGTACAAAAATTCCTTGGATAGATTAATTTTCTTCGAAGATTTATTTCTAACACTACAGGGAAAACTAAAGTATTTTCTTCCTGATTAAGGTTGAAAGATGATGAGTAGTTTGTGTGGACAGCAGAGCATCAAACTGCTTTCGAAGGAATTAAAGCCTACTTGGCCAAGCCTCCAGTGCTGATGCCACCAAAAAGTGATAAGCCCTTGAAGATATACATTGTTGCAGCAGAAGATTCATTGGGAGTTTTCTTAGCCCAGGACAATGAAGAAGGCAAAGGACAAGCAGTTTATTACCTTAGTAGATTTTTAAATTCTTGTGAATGTAAATATTCAGTTGTACAAAAGTTGTGCCTTACATTGTATTTTGCTGCAATGAAATTAAGATACTATCTTTTTCCTACAATTGTTTTGGTAATTGCAACCACAGATTTGGTTAAGTATATGTTATCTAGACCTATGTGTAGACGCGCCCGCGGAGGGGGGCCTTATGCTACTACAGTTCGGACTCGCGATTTTGTTGTCGCGGTTCTTAATCTAAACCAAAGAGTCCAAATCTGGCAAATCGTTTTGAGAAACAGATTTTTGAAAAAGTAGTGCCAAACATGGACTGCTTTGCCAGATACAGAGTCGCCACCTAAATATTTTAAAATGGGAGAAT